TTTTTTTTTTTTTTTTTTTTTTTTTTTTTTTTTTTTTTTTTTTTTTTTTTTTTTTTTTACTTTCTTTTTCTTTTTCTTTTTCTCGGGTCATTACAACCACCTTGGACAAGCATGACTGTGGCATCCTCCCCTACTCAATTGGTTGACGTCTCTATCGATCGACTCTTCGCAAACTTAGTGATGTAGGTCGAGGCTAACTTTAGGTCTTTCGACACGCTTCCAGTTGACTTCCGCATTGAGAAGTCTTCCAATATGCAAAGAACTGTTGAAAACCATATCTTGGCGTCTTTTCTGTGGGAGTTTCTCCTACTTTCTTCACTTGGAAATTCTTCTTCTTTGCATGAGGTTATGTTGCCTCTATGTGCTTGACGTCTTCTTGATCGGGAGAGTAATGTTTCATGTTACTGACATGGACAAAAGGGCTAATTCGCATCCATGGGAGCAATTGGATCTTACATTATGCATTTTGGACTTTGTGGATAACTTCGACTGGTCCGTAGAAGTTTTCGCCCCAATATTTGATTCTAGTTGTTTTAACCTCGAAGTTGATATGACCTCAATTTGATCAAAACTCTCTTTGCCTTGAATTTTTCGTGGCCAACGCTTCTGACTGACTCTTCACTTCATTCGTCTAGATGGTATTTCTACGTGAACATGCATTGTTTCAGAGGTTTGTCTCTATCCCTCTCTTTCGACGGGCCGTGTTGGCTTGGTGTTTCTCTCCGGCCTTTGGGTGATCACTAACAATGGTACTTGTGTCTAATGAACCCAACTATTTGCAAGACATTTAGCTGCTTGTAAAATTCAGGTAGCTCAAGTTGAGTCGTATGACATGCATTTGAGGCAAGCCATCTTGCCTCCGTTAATACTTTGTCTGACTTCCTTGTTTCACGTCGCGATGTTTCTAAATAGATCACGAAGCTAAGATCCTTTCTCAACTATAGTGCTGACGTCATTTTCACCCCTCCTGGCTGATGAGTGTTTGTCTGGATTATTGTCAGATTGGCCCCCATTAATACTAATGTAACAACCCGAAATTTTCTACTTAATTTAAGGTCGCTACTGTATACGTACCATAAACATTGAATGCGAAAGACTCCATTTAAATTTCATAAAACATAACCTTTACCTTAAAACACAGTCATGGACTTACTTGTTTCGAAAACATCTTTAAAACGACACAACAAAAGCTAAATAAAATAAACAAGAGTTTAAGTTAAAAACATCTCATTCTAGCCTAAGTCTAAGAAAATAAATACCACTATCCTATGCATGTGTCATGATCTCGAGTTGCGATGCCGTCGTCAGCCGTACAAGAATGTCTTGCCTTAACCTGAAAAATGTAGTAGCACATGACGAGTATTTAAAGAAATATTTAGTAAGTGACCCCACTATTGAGGTTAAATGCAACAATCACATGACCACTATTGTATGCTCGCCCGACAAGTAAGGTGGCCTAGTAGTGTGCGAACTGACTGGTGAGCCCATACTCGCATGTATGGGTTGTGTGTAGAGTATATGGTACACGTCCAAATTACCCGTTAGAACAGCACCGTAGGAAGACAGATTGAAAGATAGGTCCTATCATCTCATTTG